TATATATATACTCAAGGAATCAGTCCTGGTGATTTGGCACATAAATGTTTATATAAACACAAAAACCACCATCGAAACACACAGTTGACATTGGTTAAGTGCCCATGTAAATATGAAAAAAAGGATGTTCAAAATATTCAGGCACACTGATAAACTTTTATGAAATAATTTCTCTACAAGTTATGCTATTTTCAAAGAAACGAAGCTGTTTGTATGTAAAAGCAAGTGTAAGTGTATTATAATGTTAACGTTTTGGACTTTGGATCATTCAAAATGTTTGTTTTCTGCTTTAAATTACAACCAGTCACACAAACATTTGACTACAATGGTTTGTTTCCTCCCAGCTGCTGTTCTTGTATGTATGTCTTTTTCCCACCATAAACACTTCATGTCTTCACATGTGATTGCAGGGGACATTTGACACTAAAGAAGGCACAGCTTCTGCGCATGCGGGTATCACTCAAGCAACTGCCTACTACCCCTACGATCCAACCTTGGGACAGTATCAGTATGACAGGTAAGGAGCTGCGATACCAGCTCACTTTCATCAACATCTTTGTCAGCGCAACATATTTTAGTGCGGCTGCAGAGTTAAATGTGACGATGATTTCTGTGAGGCTTGATTTTATTCTGCTATGAAGGAAAACAGCAAGGTCATGTTAAGGTTTTGGGAAACCAAAATGCTGGATGTGGGCAAAACACAACCTTATGGACTAAGGCAAAATCACATTTTAGAAAATGTGTATTTTTAAGAGATAAAAAAAAATCCTTTCCAAGTAATCACATCACTCCTTATTTAAAATTTGATCATGTTAAAATAAAGGACATGGATAATAGATACATGGGAGCATCACAGACAGAACTGACTTTTATAGGATAGAAAACACTGATTTTTTTAACACACAAGACAATAATCAACTTTATTTGTATTGACTCCCAAGTTTTGCAGTGGCATAAGTTGCTTTTATCCAAAAATCTGACAGGCCTGTTATCGATCACTCCTAATGCAAAATAAAAAGCAAAAATAAGCAAAACGTATCTGCAGTCTATCAACAAACAAATAAAAAAGCAGACAGAGTCACTCTCACAGACAAGCAGGCCTGCTTTTTTCTACACTTTTTCTTTTCCCCTTTTTTTTATTACCTGAGGGCTCATCATTACACTCAATAAAGCAATCTTGCAGTCTATTTTACCTGCAAGAGCAACAGCAGAGGGTAAAGAAAGGTGAGTGCTCCTCTCCTTCTGATTCCCTCAGCTGTGCTTTCACCTGCACTGAGCTATACAGAGCAATAAGTCCTCATAAAAAATGAGTTTCCCAGGAGAGGACATTTAGAGCTTGACTGGAAATCAACAGTATGCATTTTAAATGGACGCTCATCGTTTGCATTCAAGGGAGAGGTGAAAGTCGGGGAAGGTCTGATAGGATGAGTTGTAAAAATCTGATAGGATATTGTAAGTTCATCTAAACACGTTTTGGTTTGTTGAAGTTGGTTTGAAGAAAACAGTGTGGCCATTTTCTTGTTTTATGTCAGCTTTGCAAAGTATACAGCTTGAATGACTCTAGTTAGTAAATGTATTCGTTTTTTTTTTAAGTTGTTGGAAAGTTATACACATCTGCCTGACAGGTTTTTCATTTTCTTATGCATAAGTGAGCAAAGTATATTGTTTGGCAAGGTGTTTCTATTTTATACACATCTCTGTTTTTTTTTAAATAAATACAACAAAATCAAAAGAACATCATTTCAGACATGTTTAGAAGCATTCCAGAAACAGCTGGATCAATCATGGTTTTCTAGAAACAAACCTGCCACTCTCACACACTCCTGGTTTACCAGTGTTCCCCTCACCCACAGATATGGGTCCATGGATGGGGGCACGAGGCGAAAGAATGCCACCCGCGAGACCACCAGCACCCTGAAGGCCTGGCTGCAGGAGCACAGGAAGAACCCGTACCCCACCAAGGGGGAGAAGATCATGCTGGCCATCATCACCAAGATGACGCTGACGCAGGTCTCCACCTGGTTCGCCAACGCCAGGAGGAGGCTGAAGAAGGAGAACAAGATGACGTGGCCGCCCAGGAACAAGGGGTCAGAGGAGAAAAGATACGAGGACGACGAGGACGGGTCTCAGGAGGAGCAAATAAAAAGCGAGAATAACGATGATGGTCAGTGTCAAAAAAGCATCTCAGGAAAAAGAATAAAATTGTTGGTTTATTAAATATGAGGAGGGGGTTGTTCTTTTCACCTTAAATGATTTTTGAAATGCTCATGCACATGTTACATTATGCTTGAAACTTTAGCTGAAGGCTTTTAGTTTGTTTCACATTTCATTTGACTTTCCAGAAGTTATACTGACTGTGTTGGATTGATACAAACCTGCTGCTTCCATTGCAAGAACAGAAAGTGCAGTTATGTTTGTGATTCTTATGTTACCATTTTTATTGGGCCTTATTATTTAAAATAAAAACTTATCACTACACATATATTCTGTTTATTTAATACTTTCATCCAAGTGTGTCAAAAACTTTAAAAGTTTAGTTAAAGAAATCTTATTGATAAAGCTTCTGTTTCATCGTAGAGACACCCTGGCACCTTTTCATGAAGCTGACTTTATAAACACATTTTGGTTTATGACTCTTATAAAGACTTGAGCTGCTTTATATATATA